GGGGGAAGAGAGAGAAGGGCTTTCGGGCATGGGAGATGCCAGCATCAGCCAACCGAGGGGCTCCCCCAGAGTCATTGGATTTTGGCACTTTACAGGGAATTCGGGGAGGGGGCTCGTTAATTGGGGAGGAGGGAGAAAAAAGCAGGGCAAGACAAAGACACCCCCCCCTCCCAGAGACAGAGTGGGAAGGTACCCTGGGATATCGAAAAGGGGGCGTCCGTCTCCACGCAAAAGGAGGGTCTGGAGCCCCTGCGCCCCCATCCAAAGGGGCAGCCGAGGAGAGAGGAGACCCCCGCCGCCGCCCCCCCCAACAACACCACTAAGACCACTAAGCTTCTTTCATGGTTTTGATTCCATGTGCAGTAAAAAAAAACATAGGATGCTTCTGGCTTCTCTTTCAAATTGCATTCTATTAAACCTGTGAGCTGAATTTTCAACTGAGTCTCCCGTGTCTTGCTCCACCAGGCTGAAGCCCCACTCTGGAGCATGTTTTTGACACCACAGAGGGTTTCAGGTGGACAGGTGACCAAAAATCCCAGTGCTTCCTTACCTGTCACTGCATTTCAGCCAAACATTTTTAAAGGTAGAGCAAAGGTTAAAAGAAAGATATGGTCATTTTAAAAAATGGGAGGAGGAAGAAGAAGAAGAAGAAAGAGACAGCCGCGGAGGCAGTCCAAGCATCTCTAGCTCTGCCGCCGCCGCCGCCACCCGGACAGGACAAAGGGAGCGCGCAAGCGGAGCGCGCACCGGCTGCCCTCCGCAGACCGTCCCTGCAGCAAGGAGGGCGAGCGTGCAGAAAAGGGGAGCGGTGGGAGGGGGGCATGCCTTCTGCTGGTATGCAGCCCCCCCTCTAGTTCTGCCTCCCACTCCGGGGTCCCGATTCTGGGCGCAATGGGAACTTTCCTCGCCCCTCCCGCGCACGGCTAGCCAGGGCCTCCGGGCGCGGAAACGCCAATAAAGCCAAGCGGCGGCGGCGGCGGCGGGTGTGCGTGAAGGCCGGAGGGTCGCCCGGAAAAAAAGAGGGCTCGGGGCGCCCCCTCCCACGAAACAGAAAACAACCTTTCTTCCTCCCCCCCCGCCCGCTGCTCAGCACGGAATTCTGGGGGTGGGGGTGTTGCACCGGCTGATGGGTCTCCTTCCCCGCCCCCCCAAAGGCTCTCATTCGGGGGGAGGCTCGGCGCTCCCCCCTCCCCGGTAGACGGCAAGGAGGCTAGTAGGGGGCGTGGACCCCGATCCGACGCGCGCCTCGCTTGCTTGCTCCGAAGGAAACGCCGCCGCCGGGGGCATCCGCGGGAGTTGGGGGGGGTGGACGCGGAGGGGAGCCGGGCGGGGCCGGGCCCGCCCCCCCCCCCCC